TATAAGTACTCAAAGAGACCAAATGGTGTAGTCACTGTGGTCTTGGGCACATCTTCAGCATGCACTGGGATCTGATGATATGCCTCTGGCAAGATCGAGGGTAGAAAATATGTGTTTGTTCCATGAAAAAGATGGTACAGTCTTGGATATGTGGGACTGGATATCTGTCAGGGACTGTGATGGCATTAAGTCGACGATAATCTCCACAAGGCCGCCAGTCACCATTAGACTTTTTAACCATGTGAAGTGGACTGGCCCATGGACTTTTAGATATGGGCGAATGGTTCCCTGTGCTAGCATGAATTCAAATTCTTTGCGAGCAGCCTTTTAGCATCTCTGGAGAAAGACGACGAGGCTTGGAAAATACAGGTGGGCCATGTGTTTCAATGTGATGATACACTTCTGGCTGATGAGTATGCTGCCCTGATTTGGATGGGATTTAAAATGTCAGGGAATTCTGCTAATAAAACCGATGAAACCGTGTGCTGCCCGATAAAACACTTATGTTGGTAGGTACGTTTGATATGTGAGAAGCTTGGCCCTGTGATGTCAGCTGAGTTGTAGCATTCAATTAAGCAATTATTCTTGACATCCACTAGAAGGTGGAAATGTGTCAAGAAGTCGACACCAATAATTGCTTGAGTTACATCAGCAATAATAAAAGGCCAGTTGAAAGTCCAGCGCAAGTTTAAATCAAGCGTTAATAGTTTGGTGCCGTAGGTTGCAATTTGGGTACCATTGGCTGCATACAGTACAAGTTTATTAAGTTGGTGAGCATTTGTTTTTAGTTCTCGGGAGCACTGATATGTCAGCTCCAGTATCTACTAGAAAACATAACTGAGTTGAACGATCAGCCAGTACTATTCTGTTGATGTGGCGGACATTCTGTTGGCCAGCAGAAGACCGCCCATTTAGTTTCCCGCTTGTACAAAAGTGCATGGAGGGGCACACTTGCGAGCTTGAGAGCTGAAATTCATATGATAAAAACATATGCCACTTGTGGGTTCTTTGTACTGCGTTCGAGTATTAAGACGGGATGGACTCCTGCTTCGGGCACGAAATTTATTACGTGGGCCCTGATTTGATCGATTGTATCTCCATGAAGCATGAAGACTTGTAGAGAGTTCAGATACTTTTTTGGTCAATTCAGCCACTTGTTGTTCGAGGGATGAACTGGAAGGTGCAGCATTAGCAGCACTGACATAAGCTGGAGTAACAAGTTCATTAATTTTGTCAGCCATTGCTGCTAAACGGGTTAGATCTTCATTGGAAGCAGCAAGAATTATTTGTATGTTATTAGGGAGACGCGAAAGCCATAGTGACTTCAACAAGTCGTCACTAAAATGGCTTCCTGCCAGATCACGCATTCGTGACAGCAAGTATGAAGGTCGCTGATCTCCAAGTTCAAGTCCTTGTAGTAAAGTACGTATTTTTGAAGATTCACTTTCTGAATAGATTTCAATGAGGCGCTGTTTCAGTTTGGAGTATTTATCACAATCAGGTGGTTTGAGAATTAAGTCATGCACTGAATTCAGAATATCAGACTCAATTGCTGCAACTACATGGTTGAATTTTGTAGAATCCTCACTAATGCGAGCGATAGAAAATTGTGCTTCGATCTGAGCGAACCACAATGAAGGATTATTTTTCCAGAAAGGCGTGTGATTTGTGGCTCTGGTGGAATATCGTCGGGCATACTGATAGATAATTTTCACTTTAAATAATAAACACTTAACAGCACAAATATTGTAGCATGAAGATACACTATTGATATTTTACCATGATAACAATAAATATTTTAACCATGCAGAAAAAATTTATGTAACGATACACACACAAATAAGACAGGGTCACACACAAATAATATAGGGCCGGCAATTACACACAAATAATATTTTATTTACCGAAATGCATTTGAAAAGAAACCCCTATTTGAGGAAAAAAAAAAATGATGCGTTCATTTTGTATTGCGCACACACAAAAATCACCACTTCACACTGCTAAGGCACTTTCGAAGGAAAAAGGAAATCACTCCTGTAGCACATGGGAAAAAAATTCACTACTTTCGAACACTGAGGGAAGAATTTTGCCGTAGCACGTTTGCACAAAAGTTACTGATGTAGCACATTTCAGCGAAAATCACTGTTGTAGCACATTTGTCACAAAAGTTGAATGATCGAAGAATTATTGCACGACTGGCGAAGTCAGCGGAACGGAACAGATCACATTGATGATTTTGCTGAAGCTCCCTGCGATGATATGCACGACTTTGAAAAAAAAAACACAAGCAATATATATCAATACATTCTAAGAAATAATTGAAGGGGTACGTTGTAGCATACGTTTAATGTCCATATTCGTTGTTATTTTTAGTCAGTTCTTCAGAATGCCTTGGATGCACGTGGCTTAGGGTCGTTGAAAATCCATTGTCAGTAGCGTGCTCAGTCAAAAAGGTCACCACTTTTGGTGGTCGTGTGTGCTTAATGCATGATAAATAATTAAAGGAAATAAGAGTAGACAATCTCAACTATAACAAAAGAATATATTAAAATACTAAATTACAATTTAAATTACATTGCAGAGATCAACACAGAGCTCGGAACACAGTTCATGCTACCTTCGCGTACAGTTGTGTGACGAGAAGTCTGAGTGAGTAAAGATGTCGCTTTGCTGCTCCGATTAAGAACTGGATTTTTCACGTGGCGCCATCTCATGAATAGAAGTTGAAGTATCTGTCGGAACGCCACACACTTATCTACCGGCCGACACGCAGGCGTGCCAGAGCATTGTTGCGTTCTCTACCGACTGTCACGTATTTGTGCCAGTACCTTGGAACGTTTTTCAAACTATAATTTCTGCCACAAGATGGCACTGTATGTCCATATGGTTTCAGATACATGTACATTAGACCTTCTACTCGAAATGAGAGAAGCATGACTCACATACACGTGTTTTTGATTATATAAACAAACGGGGAACTAAATGTTTCCGAATGGCGTGATTTATGACGTCTCTTTAAATCGCACTTTATTCGCACGTGGTAGTTGTTTATTGTAAGTAGAAGTTTTATATGCGCTAAAGCGTTGAATATTTCCGTTTACAGTTCAGTTTTTAGAAAATAATTAGATCTTGTTAGACGTGAATTCTTTCTGTTTTTACCGTTTCAATGTCGAAGCGTCAAAAATGTTTAACAGAGCATGAAATAGCAGAAATGATGCAAAATATTTCAGATATTGATTCTGAAATTCTGATATTCTGATATTGATTCTGAAAGATTAACTGAAAGACATTTTCCAAAACTTTGTTCAGAAGAGACTGATAAGAAAATGAGACGACGATGCTTCATTTGTTCACATTCCCAGAAAAATCCTCCAAAATGGCAAATGAGTTATTATGAGTTCAAGGAATGTAACGTAGGACTGTGTAGATCCCTGTTTTAAAATTTTTCATACGAAAAGAGAATTTTAAGTAATATATTTAGTTTTCAGATGTATAATGTTAAAATTCATAAAATGGTGAGTAATTAAAATAAAATGTGTAAAATATGCATTTAAACAAGAAATAAGGTAATTAAAGTATATATATAAAAATATCTATAAAGCATAAGCCGTTTAAATACTCTATAGAGCATTATTAAACAATGCGTTGATACTTCGGAAATTTCATGGATTTAGGCTTAGTAGCAAAAAAGCCCCCGGCCTGGAGAGACGCTCGCGGAAGACACTGCCGGCCTCCGCGATAAGCGCACATTTTCGCTACCTGCCTCGAAGGGGTTAATGATGAGATAGACAAAAATCTGTTTTTGGAAAATTAAGATTTAAACCAATTAGAAAATTACAGTCTCATAAATTTTAAAGTTATGGTAGAATTACAATTCAGTATAAAAATGCAGGTCATTAACAAGCTTTATGTGCTGGTCTGTCAGACTATGACAAATAAATTTTGTGTAGGAAATTGTGTCTAAAACTGTGACCAACTGCTGGGTGGTGAAGTGCGGCAAAGCTGGTTCATTTCAGATGGAAATGATGGAGGAGAAAAATGCATTGGGGTTCAATAATGATGGATTAGCTAATATGTGTTACATTTATGGGGCCATGGATGGAAGTCGACAAGACACGTGTACCAAGAGCATGTCCTTAATGGAAGAATAGACACTCCCAGTGAACACATCTGTCAACTCATCCATTGTTTGGACGACTGCACCGCAGATTGATTCTGGTGCTTTCCAAGTAAGCAGTCACATTGACTGGCAACATACTGCATGCACCCCTGACATAGCAAAAGCTGTGCTGTAGGAAATTGAAAGCATTTGGGAACAAGACTTGGGCATACCCAAGTCATGTCTGATAGCTCTGATGCTTGTTTAGGATTTCCTCTCAATTTCTTGTACAGCAGTTTCCTCTACGGGAAATGTGCACAATGGGGTGTGTACTTGGAAAGCTTCAGCTTCACTTAATCTTTTACATATGTCATGGTTATCCATGACCTCATAAATGTAATGCCTTCCATCCAGTTTGCAATTACTGAGCAAATGCATACTTCTTCTGCAACATCTTCACTTAAGAAGATATAGCTTTCCACTCTCCAATATATCTGCAAACATTACCCTCTAACAGTGGTTGGTCATTGTCACAATTTCCTGTGGAAAATTTGTTCATCATAGACTGTCAGACCAGCATGTAAAGACTGTAAACAACATTTATGGATATCTTGTATATGTTGTTTATACTCTTTATCTTAAAACTCTTTGAATTAGGATTATGGCAAAACATGAGGGCTATCTGCCTTAGTGAGGAAGGCCTTCATGGAGGACTTTTTAATGGAAACACTTGTTTTCATGTTATATATGGAAATAACACCGAGAATCAGCTTGGCTATTTGCTCGGATTTGAACCTGTGTTGATTTATTTACCGCATGGCTGCATTTGGTCGCCTGGTACTCTTAATAGAAAATGTAATCATGTAAGTTCTTCATCCAGATTATTTTTTTAATTTTACAGGTTTGGAACAGCAATGTTGTCATGGACACTTGTTTAGGTAAAGCATCTATAGAAGCACCTCTAAATCCTGAACCAGTTGTCAAGGAAGTAGAACTATTTGGGCGCTTGCAGGAAAAGGGTGTTAAAAAACCTGGTATTGTGACTGTTGAAATAGCAACCTACGATGACCTTTTATTTTGCTAAGAGCCTTGACTTCTTTTAAAAATATGTGTGCATTTGCTCAAGCTCTACATTTTTACTACTGCTATTTGAAAAGTGTAATAGTGCATATGTACAGGTTTGATGTGTTTATGTGCCTTTTTTATATTTGCAATTTTTATCAAAGTATGTTTTTATGTTTTGGGAACTTACTTTTACATTTCTGAGGTATTTTGTATGTGTTTAAATTTTCAGTCCCTTCTGAAATTTATTTGAATGCAAGTTTTTTTTGGTAAACCATTATGTTCATTTCTGGTTATCAGCTTGTTCCATCCCATTGAAAGTATATTAAATATAACTAGATTTAGGAATTTATTTTTTTAATGAACTGCTCTTGTAAACATATATTATTTTTAATTATATTAAAACATTAATCCTGATTTATGTATAATGTTTTCACTTTCTGATCAATGTTTTCTGCACATAATGAGGTGCTACTGTTCCTAGTCATATTTTTTAATCATGAAATTGGAAATCAATTTGCATCATAGAAATAACTGTGATTTCTATGTGTATTTTTTCATGTATAATTGCATTTAATTTTACAGTTTTTTTCATTCATAAAATTTGTTTTAATATCTGCACACTATTTGAAAACTTTTGTGAACTTAATTTTGAGAAATTAATTTAGCTGATATTGTTTTGTCATTGTTATAAGCACCTGAAATTAAATATTTTTATCTTTTTTACTACATTAAATTACATATTTAGACTTATAATGAAAAAGATTTTTAAGATGCAGGTTGATGTCTTAAGAGATTATTTAATATAGGTAACCCTTATATAACACGGTAGATAGGTTCCTAGAAAATACAGTGTTGTGTGAAGCTGTATTGTATGAGATCCAGAGCCAGTATAAAAAGGGGGGTTACGTTCCGAAAACTTATCAAACACAAATATTTTTTTAATTCCACATAAACAGCTTATTTTTTATTAAACATGTGTACAACACAAAAGAAAAAATATTACATATTTTAATTTAATGCAACTTTAGTTTAATAAATTTTTTCGTTGTTATTGCTCAGTATAATAAAACGAGAAAATTTTTTTGGTAGAATGAGATATCTTTCACTTTCAGAATTTCTTTCTTCATTTAAAGTTCTTGCATTTTCTTCCCCTCTTTAAAAAATCTGTAATTTTACTTTGCTTACTAGTTCTTACTGGGTCAATGTAAATTTCTTGGTATGAAGCTAGACCATTTTGCAACCCCCTTTTGAATTTTCGGCTTATTTCAGCGGAAGGATCTGCAGTCAAGAAAAATTATTCGAGATTTTCAGCTAAGCTTAGGCCTTCTTTTAATTATTTTAAATGCTAAGTTATTAACTGCACAGTCTTCGTTAGTGCTAGTGTCTGGCTTTGGATGCCATTTCCATCAAATCTGCTTTGTCAATTTCTTTTTCCTCTAATAAATAAATCTTGAACGTCCTCAATAGCCATGTTGACAAAACCTTCGTCTCCGATTGATTTAGCAACTTCTAATAAGTCACCAATTTCATTTTCTGATGATTAACACACGTTTTCTATTTCAAATGAAGAGGGCCATATCATCTTCTAACATGCATTTAACGTTGATGCTTTGGACTTTTTCGGAGACAAAGTACGATGTCAATACAGTGTTGTCCTATATGTCTTCCAAGCTTCCATTATATTAATTAATTTTGAATCGGTTATGTCTAAAATACACTGCAATGCTCTTCTTATGTAATATGTTTTAAAAATATAAATAACATATTGTTCCAATGGTTTTTCTGCCTTAAATAACGTTAAGCGTCTGGCACAAAACAATTTAAAAGCCAATCTTTAGCTTCATAATCAACGTCCTAGCAGCTTCACAATCAGCCGATGCAGATTCTCCTTGAATTCTTATGCTATAAATTGCGAGAAGCTTTTTTAAATTTTCGAACCAACCTTTACTTGCCGCAAAATCTGGGTTGACAGAGTATTCTCCGTGTTCTTTTAGATGCTTGAAAATTTTGAGTGTTTTTTGTTTAATGATATTAACATTAAACGGGATTCTTTTTTGGCAGCTATCATGAATCCAAATGCTGAATGCCTTTTCCATCTTCTCAATTATTGGCCCCTGGAGGTGAACTGCATGTTTTGCGGATGTCGAAGATACTGCAGCAACTGCACTACTTATTTCTGTTTCATTTTTTTAATAGTCCGGACTGTTGCTTCATTCAAATTAAAAGTTTTTCCAATGTGAGATGCCTTTTCTCTATTTAAAAGACAGTCCAAAATTTGCATCCTTACTTGTAAAGAAATGAATTTTTTCTTTAATGTTGTTTATCTTTATCAGACATGTTTTGAGACTGAAACTTAAGATCTTAAAGACGAAAAAGTTATTCTTTGACACACTGTAGCTAGGTGCAGACTGCCGTCCAGCAATATGAGACACTTTTGTTTTCAGGCCGTGGAGATGAGGATTCAAATTTTGGAAACCGAACATGCAGGTTGTGCGTTTTAGAACACTTATCGTGACCTCATGTTATTCACCTTCTGCGATAGTGAGGTTTCTTCTTTGTTATCTGGTGATTGTGCTATCTTGAGACTGGGTATTGTTTCTGTTATGCTACTGGGCTCTGAATATCATGGAAGGAAATGATTTTCCTCCATTACCGGTTAAGAATTCAACCGTCGCTCTCCACCACATGGCTCATCTCCCTGAGGACATTTGTTCTTACGGTTACCGGATCTTGGAAGACAACTGGCAGAACTGGTTTAACTGGCAGAACTTACAAAACAAGGATTCTTTTGTGTTAAATTACTGTATGGGTGCTTTGCTCAATCTGGAAAATCTTTGTGCGGAGTTCGTTAAACTTGGGCAATTTTCTTATCATGTTAGATAGAAACCATGCTGTAGGAGGGTTCTCGTAATTTATGAATCGTGTTATAGTGAAACCGTGTTACAGGATACCGTGTTCTAGGAGGGCTACCTGTATTTGAAAAACAAAAAGGTTATTGAGAAATCGGTGAATGTGTGTTTTCAGTGATTATAAAATTAAGTGAAAATAAATGAAAAAAAATTATTTAAAAATATTGTGTGTTTTATAAAAAATAGAAATAATTATTAAGGAAAATGGTAGCTAAAGACAAAAATAGAGGAACAAAAGTTGATTCAATTTTAATTATCATTGTACAAGAGAAGTTGATAACTTTTAATAACTTTTAAAAATTATTAACATCTTTTATTTAAAATCGAAAATTTATGTTATAGCTGTATTGAATGTTCTATATTTTAATCAATGTCACCAAATAAATTTTGATTTTTATAAGTGAAATTGAGTATCTTCAATCTGATCGACCTGAATTTCTCTTTATGTAAATTTCCATGCACTTCAATAATAATTGACAAGAACATTCATTGTCATAATTGTATTTTATTTAACTTGAATTTATGTTAGAGTTCCATTGTTTGAATGCCAGGAAATAACTGTCTTGTCAGCTCTTCTGATATATGAATGAAAATTCATTTTTTAGAATAGTTGACAATTATTTTCTCGAAATATAATAGAATTTACTAATTTATAAATTATTTATGAAAATATAATAGAATTTACTAATTTATAAATTATTTATGAAAATATAATAGAATTTAAATAATTTAATACTTATAGAATTATTTTATCAAAATTTATTATTGTATGCGGATAGCAGTGTATTTTAACGTAATTTCTGCCTGTGTTCACAAATGCTTGTAAAGGATGCATTAAATTTCAGTAAATTATGCGAATCATTTGATCTGTTTTAGAGTAATGTCCTGGTGGAAAAGATTGAAAGTACAAATTAACATTAAAAGATTTTTTGGGGGTAATGATTGAGTGCATATGTCAAAAACTTAACTATATTTTGCATTTATAGCTGTGTTGTGCACTAAGCTCTTAATGTAAATTAAATGTATTTCTTTTTGATATTTTTATTACTAGGCATTATTTTGATATTGAATTTTAAGTAAATAAGAATTAAGTTTCCACAGAAAATTAATGTTAATTTTTTAATTTTCTGGTGTGCTTGGAAGTTCTTTTAAATATCGAATATCTTCTCCGTCCTCATAAACTTCACCACTTTAAAAATTTACTGTACGTAATCATAAATGATATTAATTATTTTTCTTTAATGTGGCACTTTCCAATGTTTTATTGAATAAAGTTTCAGCAACTTGCAACTCTTTTTATTGTTAAAATTATGATTTGTATAAAGAAAATTATTCCTTTATATTTTAAAAAAAGAAGTAGCTTACTTCAAAAAATAATTTTTAATCATGCAAGTCAGACTTGTACTTTTATATTCCTACTTCAAGCCAATTCCTCATTAAGCCAAGCATTTACTAAGCTTGTGTGTAATTTTTTGCAAAAGAAAGCTGTGATATTAAGGTAGCATTGTCTTTTTACAGCATTTTTATTAATCATAGCCTAATCTAAGATGTAAAATATATAAATGAATTAAAAGTTTTGCACAGTTCAATATGAAAGAATTGTGCTTCTGCATGATTAAATTGTATGTAGTGAAAAATACTTGCATTTGTTTCTAAGTGTAAGGGCATTGTTTTTTTTTTGGGAGATGTAAAGTTTTAAATGGCTGCACACCTTTTTAGTCATTAACAAGTTTCTGTGCATTTGTTCTGTTGTCAACTCTTTTGCACAACTTGCCAATTTTTCATTGTGTTCCTTATTAGTCTTCATTTGTGTGTGTTTATTAAAAGACTATATTGTGATTATTGATTGAAAAAAAAGAATATTAAGAGACATAGACAATAATATAATATTGTCTATATTTACTTTTAAACAAATTAATTTCAAAGGCAGCTTTCTTATTTTTTTCCCATATGAATGCAAAATATTTGTGCTTTTTTAAATTTCTTTTTCATATTTCCCATTGAAATTAATTTTGTTAATGTGGCATATATTCAAATTCCAGACTCATTATGTACCTATCCATTCAGTTTGGTATAAAACTGAAAGAGTTTTGCACCCTTAATTTTTATAATTTTTTCCCCAGTATTTTGGTAAGTTTATTGAAAGCTAAAATTTTACGACATGCAAATTTCATCTGTTATGAAATCTGTCATTAGTAGCAAATTTTTGTGCATTTGGAAAGACATATGGAATTGTAGGGTTGTTTATTGATGTAACTGACTTGGATGCATTTAATGTAAACTGCATATTATGATTATCCATGTAAATACTTTTTTACTTTTAGTAGATGCCCTGTATATATTTGTTTACATTCTGACTCCCCCAAGGATTCAAATTTCTCTTCCCAAATTCTGGGAAATGTATAATGTACTATACTGAGGGTTGCATATTATTTTGTTCGAAAAGTAAAATAGGTAACTACTTTCAGTTTGGAAAATTTTCAAGCCAGTACTTCAGTTAGCGGTTGTTATTTGTGCTTTTTAGAATTAGAATTGCTTCATGAAGATACCTTTCATTAGTTCCTTTTATTTACTTTATATTAATTTCAATTAGTGAGATTTTAATAAAAAATTAAATATTTAATAATCATGTGCATGCAGCATTTGTACTTTTATTTTAAACTGATTTACTTCCTATAAATACTCTTTTACTTTTCTGGTTTAACTGGCTATTTGTTTGTCTGGCCTAAGATCCATTTCTCGTTTAAAAGCCAGCCAACTGGGACTCTGCTGTATATATTTCAACTCATTTCATTTTAATATTCTGTTGTAATTTGTTCATATTGCACATAATTCGTATTTAAACTTTTCTTTTGACTACTGCCTCATGTTGAGTAGTTCTAAGGGGGGATTGCTTTTTAAAATACTCAATATTTACTTGTAGGCAATTTTCATGACAGTTCATTTACTGTGGTTTCATTTTGTGGGAAGCAGTAGCTGTGTTCAATCTGAAAAATAGCTGTTTATGTGTAGGATAAAGTTGATGAAATGCAACCAGTTCTTTTTTTAGGCAATTGATAATTCTCACAAAAATCATGAACTCATCCCTCCCCAAAGAAAAGTTGTGTAATAAAGTAATGTGGATATAGAAAAATAGCAGAATAGGCACACATGAAACTTGGTATAAATAGTCTTGAAACAAATTGTGTACATAATTTCCATTTTATTAATTTACATGTATTTTTTACCAGCTTTCATGATAAAAGATATTAAAAAAAACTTATTACTAACTCAAGGAAAAAAGAGGTTGGACAAAAAAAGTGAACTACATATGCATGCTTATTAACAAAACTAAATTTCTACTTCCCTCCTTCATTTCAAATAGGCTTTATTAGTTTTTCCATCAATTTATTTTTTGACATAAGTAAAGCATCCTTTATATTGTTTTCTGATTCAGCATAATGTATTTTTCTAAATAGGCTGGTTTAAAAGATTCGTGTTAAGGAATTCATATAAATAAACAATAGTTTTCTTTTTATTGACCGCTTAAGAAAGGTACAAAGCATGCAAGGTTATTAATTACACTGTTGGTATATTTATTTTAATTATGTTTATTTTCAGAGTCAAAACTTTAAAAAAAAATTTGGTTATAAGTATCATTTTTAAATGTAAATTCTAAGAATATTTTTTTTGATTTTAAATGCTTTTCATTGACAGAGCCAAATGGGGATTTTTAAAAAAATCATATTTGAATGCGGGGGAAAGAAAAATTATTTGCAAAAAAAGAATTATACTTACGTTTTTCTCTAGAGTTTAGCATTTTGTGCTGATTTGTAATTTTGTCATTTATTGTACTACATCAAAGTGGTACTTTAAAAAAATCAGTAAACTGAACTGGATGTATTTGCTTTTGAATCTACTTAATTCCAATTCCACAGATTAATTCTCCATCTCTCCTCATCACTAATATATTTTTATGTTTATATGAGAAGCATATCAGTTTATGATTTTCATTAAGCAGATATAATCTTCATCAATTATGAAATTAAATTCAGCTGGGCAAAATTTAGGATTGTATACTGTCATATTTCTACCAGTGAGATTTTTTTAACTTTTTCGCTTTTAATTCAGTTTTTGAGAATGAAGTAGAATGTTGTGCTTTTGTATGTCTTTTTGTACACATTTTACAAATCTTTTTCAATCTATCTTGAAACATTCATGCATAACGAGATTATGTATTGAATTAACATCATCATTATATTTTGTTGAATTGTAGCAATATATTAATCAGTGTTGAGATATTTTTCAATAAAGTTATTTAAAACCGATGCTATTATTATATATACAAGTACTTCTGTTATTTGCTCATATGTACATGAAGAAATAATATTGTGTCTTTTTTAGATTTATTTATTTATTTTTTTTTTTTTTTTTTTGTTATGAAAGAAAGCAAGCACATTTTTTTTCCTTACTTGTTTTTAAATATTAGTTCTGATCACATGTTAAACAAGAAACTTTTAAGGCAGCACCTCACATAATGTTGTAGTGTTTTTTTAATATGCATTTAATTATTTTTTCCTGCTATTCATAATAGAAAGCCTTTGCAAAATATTCTGTAGATGCATCTATTGTTATATTTTTTATCCAGATCATAATAGTATGAAATTTCTTGTTATGTACATTGCTTAAAGTAAATTTAAACCTGCACATTTATTTTAATTCAAAAGTATTGAAATAATGCATCCTGAATTTTAACCACATTTCTAGGTAGCTAATATTTTACTGTAGAATATAAATGTTATGGTTATTTTTACAAAATAATGTTCGAACATAAATTTTTATTTGTTAACCTCTAGTTTCATTATAGGGTTATGTTTTTATTGGTCTGTTTTTATGAAAAACAAATAAAAGAGATGATGTTTTGTCATCTTTTCATGTTATGCCACATTTGTGCTTCATCAGAAATTCTGCTGGTTGTAAGATTTGCATTGTTTTTCCTGTCATCCCATTTTATATTGTACCTGAGCTCATGAATAAATCTTAAAGCTTTTCATTTTCTTGTTTATTCATTAAGCACTACATATAGCAGCATTTTTAAAGTTCCTGATATACTTTTGCAAAATTTTTATAAACATGGATATAAATCATAAAATTATTCCATATATATATATATATATGCTGCTTCATAGTTCCATACATTATGTGAAAATTATTTGTGTGTTGTTAGGTAAGGTCTAGTGTGTATTGTGCTCCATGCTTCGTTTTCATATTAAGGAGTTATAGAGACATTAGGATTTTTAAAGTATCAAACAGGAAATATGTGCAGTGCCCTTGACGGGACTCGAACGTGAAATACGCGTTGAGTGTGCTGATGTTACACCACGAAGGCGTGCAGAAAAAAGGGAGAAAATATATACTCCCCCTTTTAAAGGGTGACTGGGGTTTAGGGGAGCCCATCATCCACTTTGTTTTTAGTTCGGGCACCACTGTAGAGACATTAAGATTTTTGAAGTAGGAAACAGGAAAAATGAGCAATGCCCTCGCCGGGACATGACTCTCGACCTCTAGAATGCATGCCGGGTGTGCTAACCGTTACACCACAAAGGCGTGCAGAAAGGAGGGAGAAAATACCTTATAAAGTAATATAACTTCTCTTAAAAACAGGAAATCTGAAATAAATAAATTTTCAGTATACATGATAAATCCTCTAAATCAGTACTTTCAATCTGTGGTCAATTGACCACCAGTGGTTCTCAAAGCCACTCACTCTTGTGGTTCTTTTAGATTTCCAGAAGAGGCAAAGCAAAATTCAAATTGACTGTGTATATCACACTATAGCTAAATCTCAGAGTTTGGAGGTTGCATATGGCAATCATCTATCATATTTCCTTTGAAGACTGAAAATTATGAAATTAATTACCGGCTACTGTAACCTATGGACTTTCCTCTCCAGTCTGGACAGTCCAGTATGGACCAAGTAACAAAAGAGGGATCTAAAGCTGTATGACTGTAATGCTTCTTACCATGATACATCCGGACATAAAACATTTATGCAAGAATCCACCATCTCGTACATCTTATTAATCTGAGTGTCAACATTTTTTTTTTTTTTTGTTAATAGCAGAAATATTATCCAAACTCTTAATAGCTTTGAATTATTAAAAACAAATATAAATTTTCTTCTGTTACTTTAATTACTTAACTCCTGTGTAAAATGAAGTGAATTTCAATTAAATGGATTTTAAAAGAGTAAGTTCATTGGAAGTAACATATTCTAAAAAAAAAAGTACCTTCCGAGGGGAAAAGGGTAAGATGGTCCATATAACATTCTAATCTATAAAAGTAGTCCTCTGTTGAAAAGTTTGAGAAATACTGCTGTAGATTATTGGGAATTATTTATGAAAATGTCATATAATGACAATAATCTAATGAATTGCCAGCAGCAGTGCATAGCTTAGCTGGCTAGAAGGAAAATATATGATAATCGGAATCCTCACCAATGCAACCAGTAATGGGCTTCTACTACTATTAGGTGATACAAGGATGAGTGTCCGGTGCAGATTACTGTATCTATGAGTATCTATTTACTAGAGTCCTACTAAAAGGATATTCCAGTAAAGCTGTAGGAGTTCAAAAATGGATCCTGACATTGTGAAATAATGACTGTGGGTCACATACAAGTTAATGCAAATCAAATGACAAGTAGAAAAGGCACTTTTGCATCTGTTAAGCATCTGTTAAGTGGGTAGCATGGCAGTTATAAGAAGTGATCAGCAGCTATCAGAATTTTGTGCTTTAAATTATAAGAAAAGTTAACAAGACTTCAGTTAGCACCTTATTGAAAAAATTTGCTATTGAACTGTTCAATAGCCTTCAATAAAATCACTCTTAAGTGGTCTTATGCAAAATTGTTTCTAATTTAGTGAGGGGCTGTTATAATGAATCTTAAGAAATCATTTTAAACATTCTGTATTTTCTTCAAGTCTGCTTTTGTTTGCCAGGGAAGCATAAGTAAATTAAATCAGAGAGGTATAAGTAATACGAGCCTACTAACTGATGTAAAAATCCTTTTCTTGGATATGCAAATTTCCTGGAAATATTGCTGATCTTAATAAAGAGTTAGGTATAATTAGGAAAAGAAGAAAACGAAGTCCACAACATAGTATAGTCCTGCAGTAAGAACAACTGCCCTATTCCTCAAGAGAGTTGCCAGACTCGGAAAATTAAGCTAGGGAAGTCATGAGATGTTGGCAGATCCGGTGCAAGAGAAAAATAGGTGGCACACAAAGAAACAAAATATTTTTACCCAGCATTCTGTTAAGTGTCTTCTCTAACACTCATAAATTTTTGCAATCTGAGCTTTGTTCAATGTCAATAGCCGTTCATAGATTTTATAAAAATGATCCGTTTTAATTTTCACAAATAATCTTTTAGGCATAGACATCAAAATGTTCATAAATGATGTTTTTAAAAGGAATAATAGAAATAGACGTTGTATTTAATAGGAAATAAGAATATGTTGGTATAAAAAGATAATAGTATCTCATTAATTATTTTAGAGTTGATGGATCTATTAGCATGTCTACACTTTATGGCTCCACCATTTCCGGGATTATATTGGACTATTTTGAATTAGAATTATTTTTTATGTCGATTAGTTTTAACAGCAGGTAGTTGCGATTTAAGAATATCGTAGTTTGTTTTTGAAGAATTCGTAATATATTGTGTATTTAAATATTTAATAATAAAAACAAACCTAAACTTTCAAAGAATGCAGATCAAATGGATTATCAACCTCAATGTGTTGTTTGCGTGAAATGTTATCCAATCAAAGTGTGAAACCATCCTTTCTTAAAATACATCTTGAAGCTAAGCATGCCAATTTAAAGGATAAATCTGAAGAATATTTTGAGAGGAAATTATCGGAGTTCAAAAATGGTAAACAAGTAATGAGAGATTTTGTTGCTTTAACTGAAAAAGCTTTGAAAGCTAGTTACCGAGTAAGCCTAAGAATTGCCAAGACTTGGCAGGCTCACTGTTAGAGAAAACCTTTTAGTATTTACCAGCAGCTAAAGATACCGTTTCAACATTACTCGACGAAAAAAGTGTCTAGTAAACTTAATAATATTCCGTTATCAAATGACACAGTAAAGCCGACGAATTCATGAAATGGCAGATTACATAAAAGAGATACTTATTAAAAAAATAAAACACAGAGAATATTTCGTATTCAAATTGGATGAAAGTAGGAAGGAACTTTGTTCGATTATTAGTTCACATATGTTTTTAAGAAGATAAACAAATTGTCCAAGAGTTTATTTTGGGAATATATTCATGATAGAGCAACTGCAAATGAAATTTTCTAAGTAGTTGACAGTTTTATATATAAGAATAACATTCCTTGGAGTAAGTGTATTGTCGTATGCCCTGGCAGAACTGAAGCTTTAACAGGAAAACATTCCGGTGTTATTTTTGAAATAAAGCAAGTCGCTCCTGAAAGTAAATTTACTCAATGCTCCATTCATCGTGAAGCTTTAATAGGCAAAACAATCGCCCAAAACCTGAAAATCGTTTTGAATCAAGCTTGTGAAAATTGTTAATTTTATTAAAAGCCGACCTTTAAATTCAAGAAAATTTACGACTTGATGCCAAGAGATGGGCAGTGAAGATGAGACATTGTTATATTAACATTGTGAAAGACAGCACACATTGTTTTATTCCGAAGTACGGTGGTTATTCAGAGGCAAAAATTTAAATCGTATTTTTGAACTTCGATCGGAAATTCAAAATTTCCTCTGTGATTCAAAATTTGAATTGCAAAAATGTTTATTTAGTGAATTATGGTTGGCGCGTATAGCATGTTTAGGTGATATTTTTGGAAAGTTAAATGAATTAAATTTAAGATTACAAGGACAAAGTTTTAAATTGTTTACCATTAGAGAGAAAATAAGTGCAATGATAAAAAAAAACACGAGTTAATAATCAAAGAATTAGATAGTAATATTGTAGAGACATTAGGTATATTTTTGGAAGCAGGAAAGATGAAAAATAGCAACCGCCTTCACCGGGAATCGAACCACAGACCTCTGAAATACCGGCTCAGTGTGCTGACCACTACACCCCGAAGGCACGCTAGGAAGGCGGGAGAAATACCTTACATACTCCCCCTTTTAAAGGGCGACTGAGGTTTTTAGGGGATCCAATCGCCAAATCCTGGGTGTGGAGAGTCGTCATCCACAACCCTTTTAGCTCGGGCACCACTGTAGAGCCATTAGGTATTTTTTTTTTTTTTTTTTTTGGAAGCAAGCAAGATGAAAAATAGCAACCGCCTTCGCCGGGAATCGAACCACGGACCTCTGAAATACCGGCTCAGTGTGCTGACCACTACACCACGAAGGCACGTTAGGAAGGCGGGAGAAATGCCTTACAATATTTTAAGCTTTTTACCCCTTTTCGAACGTTTTCTAACCGAAAATAATTTGAAAAGAAACTCAGAAATGTGAAAGCTTTCAGATTTTACATTACGCCCAAAAGGGCGTTTATTTAACGTTTTGTGTGTTACCTTTATTTATTAAATACCATGTCCTTGGCACTTAAACCATAAAATTCAATTCAACAGCAATATCGCAAAATAATTAAAAAAAAAAAAAAAATAGCATATCTTTAGAATTTCCGATACACAGTCTTGCGCGGTGGAGATAAAATTTTTTTTTCTGTACTGTGTTGCTATTGCTCGCTTTGAAATCGTTGAATTTGTTAATCAAAAATTCGTTAAAGTGTTGCAAAATATGAAATCAATAAAAAACAAATTCCAAATTAGGGCTGTCAGATACCCATATTCGGTGGAGGATTACGTTATTCAGAATTTGATGGCTCTAGGTACCGTTGTTTTATCACAATGGAAAAAACATACATACATTTATGCAGATTCTTCATTATTTAATTTCCTTAAATATAACACAGGAGATAATATTTGGCGGCAGCAATTTGAAAAGGGCTACTGAATAATTATCATTAGTAATTAGGTTGACTAATTTTAAAATTTATGAATGC